TTAATCCATTAGTGCTAATTAATTAATTAAAGATAATCAACTGTAAAATTAATTATATACACTGTTTACTTAAAATAAATAGTCAAATCGTTTTCTAAGTTCTTCTTTAATACAGAAAAAAATAAAAAATACTCTTTCCTTTTGACATTAACTATTTTTTCGGAACAAAAGCGACAATTTTGACAATCCGCTGAAAACGCAATTTCTGCTATAAAACTATTCGCCTTCACCGCTAAAATACTCATCATAGAATTTACATCATCATAGAAAATTTTATCACCTATGCTAGAAACTAGATTTCTCTTTTTATTATTATAATGGGGGAATTTAGAAATTAACAGACCTAATCTATTTTAATTCTAAAGGTATTCGACTACGTTCGGAACCGTTATTTTGTAAAAGCGTATAAATGAATAATTGTTTTAATATATAGTTTCCCCTGATTTAAAACACATATAAAACTGTCATAAGAATGTTTTTTACAATAAAAAAATTATTAAAATGCAATTTTTTGGCAAAAACGAAGAAAAGAGGACATATTTTCAAAAACTTCTATTTTTATGGAAAATTCTTCTATGACATTTTGCATATATATAGCTAAGACTTCGGTATGGAGCCCAAAATAGAATTTTTAAAATATATGTATACCTTACAATGGGATTTATTCCTATTTTGATATATTAGAGTGTAGAGAAATTTTAACAAAAATACACCAGTTACTGTTGTAATGAATTCTGAAAACAATGTGAATTTTTCAATCTTTCTGGCTCAGACCCTGTATATAAGTGTCCAAGCTATATACAGGCAAATATTTTTAAAATACAAGTATTTTCAACAAAAGGAAATTGTACTTTTTTTTCATTTTCTTTTTTGAAAAAAAAATTGTATTTAAATATTATTTCACAGTATTAATGTTTTTTAAACAATTTTATGTGTATATTCTAATTTAAGTGACACTAAAAAAATAGAAAAAAAATATATTCATTTATACCTTTTTGCAAAATCACGCTTGCAAACATAGTCAGATGCATACCTTCATTAAGAGGACTTGGTACCCTTTGAGCTGCTTTCTTTCTTTACGTATTTAAAAATTATATTTTAACATCTTTTTTATATAGTTTTTCTATTCCAGAAAATGATGCGAGATGAAATTTTTCCCACATTATTCACACAATTTTAAAAATTAAAATTGTAAAAAGATTGATAAGAAAAATATAAAGAAAGATTGATAAAGAAAAGAAAAGATTGTAAAATTTTTTTAGGAAAATTTGGAAAAATTTAAAATTCTACTCCCCTTTTGTAATTATTAATTTTTTAACCTGAAATTTTTTTATAATATTGTTATGGATGTTATAAACAAGTTTAGGGATCGATTTTACAATAACTTAATTCGTTTTTGAGAAAAAAAATAAAATATTGATATACATGCTAAAAATCAACGAAAAAGCCAATATCTCTTACATTTTAATTTTTTTTTAAAAAAACAGTATTCAGTTTACAGTAAAATGGATCCCTAATTTTGTTACATGCTTTATATGCAACACACATAAAAAAATGGAAGTGATTGGTAAATAATTGTGGTTGGAGAAGCATTTTGAATGCACTAATGTTTCGAAAAACACAAACTGAGAAAAACCACTTTAAAGTTTATAATTCTGAAAAAAAATTATAATAAGCTTAAATAAACTTAAAATACAACTCTTTAAGATATTGGTTATATATTTTTCTTGAAAATAATTGCAGTTGCGTATTTTTTCAACCCATACATTTTTATAAATGATCAAAGTAGGTATTAATTGTACAAGAAAATTCAAGAAAAATGTTAAAAAAAAATTTTCTGTCACGACAAAAAGTTTAGTTTTTTTCTTCACATAATATTGAAATATTGCATTTGTATGAAAAACATATCGTGAATAAGAACTGAAATTATAAAATTATTAATATAAAATTCCTTAATTCAAAAATTTTACATGCACACATTTCACAAAGAAGAAAAATTACATTATTGCATTGCCTTGAAAATATTTTGCTATATATATTACACATTCTTGTTTTATAGTTATTATTTCTCTTTATAAAATAGATTGTTTTATTATAACGCTTTTTTTTAGCTTTTTTTTCTAAAAAGAAGGCGTGGCCGAATTGCCTAATTTTTTTTCAAATGAAGTTTTCTTCAACTTCCAGCTTTTTAACTTGCACAAATGATATATCATTCGAAAGATAATAATACAAAGAATAAGATTAAATAAAAATAAAAAAAACGATAGGTCGGTCATTTTTGGGGTACCAAGTCCTCTTAAAATTTTCAGCTTTCCTGGTGCATGTACGATAAATCAAATAGTATTCAAAAATTAAGTAAAATTGCATACAATATTTAGAAAAAAATAAGTATATTAAGCAACAATTAACTGCGCAGTTAAAAATAATTCCAGGAACAAATTGAAAAAAGAAATATAATGTAATATGCTATAAATATCACTAAAAGGGAGGGAGAAGTGAAAAAAATTATTCTAGATGTTACAAAAACTGATTCGGTATTTTAAAGTAACTTTTATCAGTCTTGCATTTAGTTAAAATAGCTTAGATAAGAATCTATTATAATGATTAAGAAACATCTCAGACTTTCCTAATGCGAAGAGCTTGCTTATTCAAGGAAGAAAAAGATAAAATAAATCCAGAACAAAATATTTAAAGAATTACCAAAATCTCAATAATATCTTTGGAATATAATTAATCTTAATGCAAATACTGGTTCAATTTTAAGCAGCATCTCTTCCAACTATAGATGCAACACATAGCATAATGAGTTTTTAATCCCATGCTCTGTTTTAAAAATTATTTTAAAAAAAATAACAAAATACTATTCTATATAAATTCCAGAAATATAAATTATATTTAAGCTCTTAGAATTTTAAAAGCTTCTTTCTATGGAACTATGTTCTTAATTACAAATGCAAAAAAAATTCTCCCTTCGATCTTAAAAGCGTGAATTCCTTTTAAAAATAAAATGCTTTTTCGAATAAAGCAGAAAAGAACTGAATAATCAAATTATATGGCGAAAGATTGCCCAGACGACGACGCATTAGAGGCATTATGCAAATCGCATGTCTGTACAGTTCCCACCCGATGCAAATCACTGACGTTTAAAAGCGTCCGAAATTATTCACAGCTGCAAAGGAAATGCCCCATACCAAGGTAATGGAAAACAGCCTAGTCCCACTTTTCAAAGGAGGGATAAAAAATGAATTCCACCATATTCTTTGCTAAGGTAATGCTTGGAAAATTCCCTCTAAGCGACTTATATAAATCATTGGTCATTAATAAATGTAATGACTTTGAATGATTCGAATATATGCAATTGACTTTGCTGAAATATTTGAAAGTATTTGATTAGAAATAAAATAAAACTGGTACAAAATATATAATCGTCAAGGAGAGAATAAAACTGAATGTGTGTGTTGCCTAACTATTTTACACAGCTTAATCACACTTTTTTAACGATTTTCTTTCAAATTTTCATGATTTAATTTTTTTAAATTAGGCTTAGCAATGAAGCATTTTGTCACGAAATGTATTTTTGAAACATTTTCCGTTTCCGAGGGATAAAAAATGAATTCCAACATATTCTTTGCTAAGGTAATGCTTGGAAAATTGCCTCTAAGTGACTTATATAAATCATTGGTCTTTAATAAATACACTAACATTGGATGATTCGAATATATGCAGTTGACTTTGCTGAAATATTTAAAAGTGTTCGATTAGAAATAAAATAAATCTGATACAAAATCTAAGTATCAAGGAAAACAAAACTGAATCCGCGTCCCTCCTAAATAAAAGGTGTTTTTTAGAGGTATAAAACTTTAAATTGCAATAAAACAACGATGTATTATTCGATTGACATAATTTTTTTATTCGAAAGATAATCTTGTGGCATTACATTTTAAATATGATTTCTGGCATATGACTGCCACGGCTGGCTCGGATGTAGTCCAATCTGGACGTCCAATTTTCGATGACTTTTTCCAACATTTGTGGCCGTATATCGGCAATAACACGGCGAATGTTGTCTTCCAAATGGTCAAGCGTTTGTGGCTTATTCGCATAGACAAATGACTTTACATAGCCCCACAGAAAAGAGTCTAGCGGTGTTAAATTACAAGATCTTGGAGGCCAATTCAAATTAGGCGGTCACCAAACGTGTCTTTCAATAAATCGATTGTGGCACGAGCTGTGTGACATGTTGCGCCGTCTTGTTGGAACCACAGCTCCAGGACATCATGATTGTTCAATTCAGGAATGAAAAAGTTAGTAATCATGGCTCTATACCGATCACCATTGACTGTAACGTTGTGGCCTTCATCGTTTTTGAAGAAGGATTCCACCAGCCCATAAAGCGCACCAAACAGTCAGTTTTTCTGGATTTAACGGTGTTTCTACATGCACTTGTGGATTAGCTTCACTCCAAATGCGGCAGTTTTGTTTGTTGTCGTAGCCATTCACCCAGAAATGCGCTTCATCGCTAAACAAAATTCGCTTATGAAAATATGGAACAACGGCGATCTCGTTTTGGGCCAATCGACGAATCTACGCCTTGCTTGATGATCGTTTTGATGAATTGCCAAACCAAACTGAGAATAAATCACTTGACAGCTGTTAAATCGGTCGCCATCTTGGAAAGTAATGCCAACTTCAACTTCTATACATGAAAAAAACACTCTTTATTTTGCACAGTTTAATTACACTTTTTCAATTTCTACTATTAGTTTACTCTCTCCCTATAGATATATCTTAATCTTGTTCAAATTTTTAATCGTTAAAAAAAACCTTCTATTCATCCTTTAAAGTTCAAATACATTTTTTAAAACTTGTAATAGATGACACTTGATGTTAATACAGTTTTTTCAAGTATCCATTAATTAATTAAATTAAAAAATAAATAAGTAGTAACAAACAAAAATAATAGTCCAACAGCATATATAGAAAGGAAAATCGTTCATTGTATCCCTGTAGCGCAATGGATTTCTCGTTGGACTTCTAATCCTAAGTTCGTGGTTTCGAATTTCACCTGGGATGGCCTAATTTCTGAGAATGTGATTTCTTTTTAAGTATACTATTTTATTAGAATAATTAAATTTAATCAATAAATAAATTGTAGCAAACAAAAAATAGTCCAATACCCTATATGGAAAGGAAAATGGAAAATTGCAAAGAAAATCGCTTTCTATTTTGTTACTTAATAGTGTGATTCTGTCATGTGTATATACATATTAATATTAATTGTAACTATTTAATAAAAAATAACTAAAATAATATTTTTCTTTGTTGACCTAAGTACGAATTGACTTAATTTTTTTATATTACTTGTTGGACGCTTTTTCTTTTAGAACATCATGATTTAATTATTTAAATAAGGCTTAACAATATGAGGCATTTTGTCACTAAACGTATTTTTGAATTATTTCACGTTTCTACATATTTGAAATCTTTGTCATACATCATTTTCTATTTTAAAAAGTCGTTTCGTGAGAAATTGAAAAATTAATTGAATTAGTATGTTTCAGACTTTCAAAAAACATTAATAAGGGTAAATTAAGTTTATGAATATAATGAAATTCACAGTTCTTAATAGTTTCCTCCGTAAATATTTATCACTCTCCAGAAATTAAAAACAATGGAATTCTGATTTCAATACTGAAGATTTCTGCTTTTTCATTCGAAAACCTATTCATTTAATTATTTTGTACGCAAATTAAAAGAACGAAAGAAGTTATTCATGAAATGAATTGAATAGGCAATATGAAATTCAATTATTCAATAAGTTTATTCCTTATATATAGATATAACAATTTTGATCAATATGTCTGGCATCTTTGATTTCATTATATAGATGCTATTCATTTGACAAATGTCTGATAATTAAAGATGCAACGAAAAAATATTATCCCCGATAAGAAATCCTTTTTATAATAGAATTTTGATTTAAACTTTTGAGGCATTATTCTCACTCAAAAGAATAATATAAAAGAATAGAATTATGACTTGAATTTAAAAGTACATGAAACCAATGAAGCAATTTTTAATGGTAGGAACGTTTACATGACAGTATTTCAGTTGTCTCTTCTTTCTTCTAACTCCACCCTACCACACCCATGTGAAAGCTCTTAAATTTTATTTAGTTTAAAACAAAAATTTTTCCTTAATTATTTGCATCAATATCTTCGATGAAATCAGTATTCTCACCCAAGACTAGGTTTAAGTATAACATAAATAACAGGCTTATAATGATCCTACACAATACAAGCATTTACAGCGTTGATTCTTACATAAGGATCAGAAGATTTAAACAGTTTTGAACAAAGTATGAGCTGACAAAAGATTTCAGTAGTTGAAAGGAATTATATAATTGAAATAACCATGAGTACAATAGATGTCTTTTTGGTAAATCCCTCATCCTTTAGCTACTTTTAGAGAATAGTAGAAATATTAATCACTAAATTGCCAATAAACTAAACTCAGTGGCGCAACAGCCCATGAGGGCCAAGGCCTACTACACACATCTCAGTTTTCATGACCTTAGGCATGAACAGAAGTTCCAGTCAGGTGATCATTCTGATGCGAAAATTCCCAGTGTTTAGTTCCCAAGTAAGCTTGGTACTCATTTATCGACTCACTGAAGACGTGAAAGGCTGAAAATCACCGACATTTTTCTAAATTTTCACGATATCTAAGGTGGCCCAGCTAGCACGGTGGCTATGACTCTCGGCTTGTAACCGAGTTGATTCGGGTTCAAATCCCTTGTGAGACATGGTTGTATCTTCTTCGGGAAAGAAGTCGGTCTTTCGCCTGTAATGGATTCCCGTCTCGAAAGGAAAGCAGCGCATCCCTTCTTGTTATATGCTAGGATAATCATCCGTAATAAATGTGTATATTTGTGAGAACCTCCTGGATTCCACCCTAGACACCAAGATTGAATTGAGGCAAAGAATTACCAGACGACATTTTTACAATAATAAATTATATTTATTTACTTGAATCAACCATCTAATTACAAAGATTACACTCAATATGTCTACGTCAATGGGATTGACTTTTATTATTAAATTAAATCACGAAATATGATACTAATCAACTATTAAACTCAATATCGAACGGGTTTACCGGAATAAGAGGACCCAGAGATATATGCAATTTGAATCACTAGCATTCATTAACTTTGCACTAACTTTAATACATATTTACTTTTATGATCCGAAAATCTAAATTTAAATATCACCTGACTTTTAATTCGTTACTCTCCAATTGGATCAATCCTTCCAATTGTAGATCGCTGCCTAATAATCAGCAAGACGCTAATCACACAATCAACTTGAATCTTCTTAAAACTTCGTCAACCTATCTCTTGTTTCAATAGCCTAACCTATCTCTTGTTTCAATAGCCTAACCTATCTCTTGTTTCAATAGCCTAACCTATCTCTTGCTTCAATAGCCTAACCTATCTCTTGGTTCAGTAGCCTAACCTATCTCTTGATTCAATAGCCTAACCTATCTCTTGGTTCAGTAGCCTAACCTATCTCTTGGTTCAATAGCCTAACCTATCTCTTGGTTCAATAGCCTAACCTATCTCTTGGTTCAATAGCCTAACCTATCTCTTGGTTCAATAGCCTAACCTACCTCTTGGTTCAATAGCCTAACCAATCTCTTGGTTCAATAGCCTAACCTATCTCTTGGTTCAGTAGCCTAACCTATCTCTTGGTTCAGTAGCCTCTATCTCTTGGTTCAATAGCCTAACCTATCTCTTGGTTCAATAGCCTAACCTTGGTTATCTCTTGGTTCAATAGCCTAACCTACCTCTTGGTTCAATAGCCTAACCTATCTCTTGGTTCAATAGCCTAACCAATCTCTTGGTTTAATGACCCGCTGTTAACTTACAACATTCTCCTTAAATACTTTACCTAGTTTGCATATCCCGGTTTCTTCATTTTTAGAGCTGGTTGGAAATATACGTGAATTTATAATCCCCAAAGACGCCTAAGAGTATTAGTGATAAGATGCCGTACAGATTCGTCACATATTCTTCTGTTGTATTGTATGCTTTCTGTTCTTCTTCACTTGTATTTCATATGTTCCCGGGACAAGAAAACATATGACAACAACATCAATTATATCTAAGTTGTACCTGCCCAGCTGTCATTGTCATTTCATTGGGACTCAAAATTACGAGATTCATTGCCAATAACTCGTATTGCGGTAAGGCACGACGTTAATAAACAATCAATCAATTATATTTTTCTTAAATATTAGCAATAACGTATTTCAAATAATGTTCCTACTTTTATTTGTGTGAGAATCCCTTCTTCTAAAATATATTAGTTATAACAATAAAGGTATTTCTTATCAATAAAGTTAAAACGGATTAGAGGACAACCAAGACTTTGATGGCTGAACTCCATTAATACTGAGCTCAAGACCATAAGAAGACAGGAACTGATGACAAGGAGAACTGCTTGGAAAAATTATCTGGACTATTGAGGCATCGATGATAATAATGAATGTTAAAGCGAATTGGAGTCCGTATTAATGTGTTGAGGGATAAATCAAAAAACACTGTAAAACTTATCAAATTTATTTAATCTGAGATATTTTAGTAAATTAATATCATAAGGCAGCACTCAATAGTAACAAAATGAACCTTGAAACTTAACTAGTAATAATTAAGAGATTCACATAACTTTTTATGGAGATCTGAATTATAGCCACGCAGCATTCCAGCTTAAGAAGAAATCTGAGCATCAGTCACACACAACTTCACGAGTTTTAATCTAATTCATCGAAAAAAAAGTATTTTACACTTATAAACTTAAAAGCCTCCCTTACAATAACTATTTCAATTTTTTGTATTCCCACTTCAAATCACTTTAAATAGCAATCCTATTCTGTATATATCATGGTTCCTTCTTACGATAAGGTTCTTAAATTAATCAAACAATCTATAAAATAGATTTCCCTAGAGGTTAGTTAAAAATGCGTTGAGAACCTGCAATAAAGTGTTTTCCTAATTGGTTTCCTATTTAATAGAATCCTGTTTTAAAAACAAATTAATTATATAAATATCGATTTAAAGTCTCTCAACATTTTTAAACTCCTAAAGAGAGTAGGGCATATTTCTGAGTGAGTGAATATTAACGTCGCACTGTTCAGCTACTCGAGGGCTTTTGGCGACGGACCTCGTAATTTGACATATTTCTGAAATTAAACTGTGAGATTTCAAAAACAATTATGTTTTTAACCCTTTATCTACCGCACTATGATTTACTGTAGTTTTTTTCATGCAATATTTTTTTTGAATCATTACATTGAAAATTAAGAGATATACATAAAAAAAATACTCAACTTTAGGAAATTTAACCACTAGAGCTAATTAATTAATTAAAGATAATTAACTGCAAAATTAATTGTATACACTGTTCACTTAAAAAAACAGTCAAATCGTTTTCTAAGGTCTTCATTCACATAAAAGAAACATTTAACTTTTGACATTAATTATTTTTTCGGGACAAAAATGACAATCTTCACAATGCGCTGTAAGTGCCGTCAGCTGAAAATGCAATTTCTGCTATAAAACTATTCGCCCCTTCCCCGCTAAAATACTCATCATAGAACCCGTGCTGCCATATATCTTGGAAGAGTGGATTTAAAAAAATATTCTTGCTAAGTACTGTCAGAGTATTCGTAAAAATGGTTATTCTACGTAATTTTAAAGTGAGTGGTACTTAAAAGTAATGTCGGTAGATAAAGGGTTAATCTAGATTTTTTTAAAAAAAAGAAAACTTAAATATATTTATAGAAGAGAAAGCACATTTGTTGACTTGTATAAATAACATTAAGATAAATATATAATTTCTGGAGAGACATTAGTGGGTAGCTTGAATGGTTTGGCTAGGGGGGGGACTATCCCCTCCCCTCAATGATTCTCTTCAAACTCCACTGCTCACTCAACAAACCATGGTATTTCAATTTCGATGTTAATGCAAGCAGTTCAAAAGGCTGGCACACAACCTGTCGATGCTTTCCGT